TTTTAATTATAAATTTATATTAAAAAATAAAATTAGAAAATGAGAAAGAAAAGAAAAACAAAAATGAAAAAGTTTAAATAGGAGCGTGCATTGAACGCGAGAGAAAATTCTGGGACATAGTTTTGTTTGCCTCCACAAGAAGCAGAAGACGGCAAGTCCTTTCTGACCAGAGCCAGAATTCAGAGTCTGCTCAGCTTGCAAGCGAAAGTCTATTTCTTTCTTCTAAAAGTCTACGCAAACCACTTGTTATCTTTCTTTCCACCATCTTCTGTTCATCTCAGGAGCTCTGCTTTCAATGGCGACAATTAGCAGTCACCAAATTTCCACGAGAATGTCTCTCCTCAAATCTCACTCCTCTCCCAATTTGTCCTTTTTTCGAAGCTTCACTGGCAGCTCTCTGTTCGATTCTGGAATCCGCCGTGCTGGACGACGTCTTACCGTGCTAAAACCACAAGCTTTTACTGTTAGGTCCGTCAGGATCGCTGAAACTGCTGAGAATGTCGTGAGTTCTATTATCGTTCTAGTTTTCTAGAATCAGTTTTTGTGAACTGTTGGATCTTTCTATTTTTTTTAACTACTATACTTTTTATTTTCCAATGTTTCAGGAAGAGCTGAGCCCGCCGGTTAACTTTTGGAGTAGCAGAGCTCAGGGGAAGTTAGGTGATCGGAGGAAAACCAAGATCATTTGCACGATAGGTCCGTCCACGAGCTCGCGTGAAATGATATGGAAATTAGCAGAGGCTGGGATGAATGTGGCGCGGCTGAATATGTCGCATGGTGACCATGCTTCCCACCAGAAAACCATTGACCTTGTTAAAGAATACAATGCTCAATTCAATGACAAAGTTATAGCCATAATGCTGGACACCAAGGTGTATATACTTTGTTTCCCTTTTTCTTCTTGACCCATTTTTGGCTTCCTGTATTAATTGACCCATTTGCTTTGTTGTTTATGCAGGGTCCTGAGGTTAGAAGTGGAGATGTACCTCAGCCAATTGTACTCAAGGAGGGACAAGAGTTTAATTTTACTATCAAAAGAGGAGTCTGCAGAAAAGATACTGTCAGTGTAAATTATGATGACTTTGTAAATGATGTGGAGGTTGGAGATACATTGCTGGTAGATGGTAAGAATGGATTCTGTCGAAATGCTCCTACATTGAGGCTTTCAGTTTCGGTATACTGTTGTTGTAATATGGAATTGTAGCTACTAATGTATTTATAAATATGTATGTCATACAATGTGTAATAGTACAGAATACATACATAGAGACATTTACATGTGTTACAAAAAAAAAGACAGACATGGAAACAACTATGCTAGGCTTCTCAGTTCCCTTGTTTATTGGTTCTGTACAATTTTTGCATTTAAACTCATAGATGGTAATCAATGCATCATATTTCTGCTTAATGGTGTTGTATTTAAGGTATTCGATCTGTGGCTTCAAGATGCCTGGCAAAAATGTTATGTGTTTAATTTGATTTACAGGTGTTCCTCTCTATTGGTAGTGAAAATGACTTACTTATCTAAAGGAGATTTTCTAATTATGTATTCCCTATACAAACAAAAGTTTCTCCTAGATGTTGCCTTCTTCTACCTGGGTTTTAATGGGTTTTCTTTGTGTCAGGTGGAATGATGTCATTAGCTGTGAAGTCAAAGAAGACAAAAGATTTGGTTAAATGCATAGTTGTTGATGGTGGAGAACTAAAATCAAGGCGTCATTTAAATGTGCGTGGAAAAAGTGCTACTCTGCCTTCAATAACAGGTTATTTCCTGCCTCAAATATTATCAGGTTTCTGTATTTTACTTCCTCAGTATTTGTTTGCTTCATAGTTTGACACTTTATAGGGCATGTCTCATGTTTACAGACAAAGATTGGGAAGATATCAAATTTGGAGTGGACAACCAAGTTGATTTTTACGCTGTCTCCTTTGTAAAGGACGCTAAAGTGGTCCATGAATTGAAAGATTACCTTAAAAGTAAAACTCTTTTGCAGAGAGTGGCAGTTAGTTTTTTAAATTGAACAGAAAAATTACAAACTCTCTTGCAGGCTGCAATGCAGATATTCACGTAATTGTGAAAATTGAAAGTGCTGACTCTATACCAAATCTCCATTCAATAATTTCTGCTTCTGATGGGGTTAGTCTTAAGCATTTTTTTTTTTTTTAATTATGCTCCTTTTCGAGTACTAGGGCAAGAAGTAAAACTACTGCTGCATGATTCCCACTGCCAACTTAAGTGGTTCTATGAACATTATAGGCAATGGTTGCTCGTGGGGACCTTGGAGCCGAACTTCCAATTGAGGAGGTGCCCTTATTGCAGGTAATTTGTTTCTTTTTTTCTTTTTAGTGACATATATGTCTTTTTTGATTATTATCTTCATCAGATGGTGAGAATATAATCTTGTATAAACTCATACCATTGAATTTTAACTTGATTGAAGTGTGATTGTGAACAATCAAGATATAACAAATTCTAAGTCTGATATTTCTATTAGCCGATAGCGTGTGTGAGATGATATATGGTAAAGCATAGGAACCTTGTCTAAAATAATATTGAATTTAGAAGCATAGAGATGTCAACATTATGACAATGTAAATGTAACTTTAAACCCCAATAATATTGTTTAACAATTATAGAAGTTTCCATTTTTGCCTCTACCCTGTCAATCTCACTTCACTTAGCATGTCAAACTGGTTCTATTCATTTATGGCGTCTCTATTATTTTGACCAACAAAGTTTATAATCTGGAAACAATACCGTATTCCAATACTGGTATGCATTGCTATCATTTTAACAGGAGGACATCATTAGAAGGTGCCATAGTATGCAGAAGCCAGTAATTGTTGCTACAAACATGCTTGAAAGCATGATCAACCATCCTACACCAACAAGGGCAGAAGTTTCTGATATTGCAATTGCGGTGCAAGAAGGTGCTGATGCAGTTATGCTTTCTGGAGAAACTGCACATGGAAAGTGAGTTAACTTTGTTTATATTGGTGGCACTGTTGCAAATGTTTCAAATATGTAAATCTGCTTTAAATCCTTTCTTTATTTTTTATTTTTTTATTTTCTTGGGCTAAAAGGAATAGCAAAATGGTGCTAGAAATTTAGAACTTTTGTATTCCACAATTGGAATGTTGGCTAATTTCCTTTGCTGTAGTTTGCTTTCATAGTATTACTTTTAAAATTTTGAGCCATAATGATGAGTGAAGGTATCCATTAAAAGCTGTGAAAGTGATGCATATCGTGGCATTAAGGACTGAGTCAAGTCTTCCAGCCAGCACCATGCCTTCAGTTCATTCCAGTGCTTATAAGGTAATTGGTCATCAAAGTTTGAAGCTCTGTCCCATAATTGTTATTTCAAGTTGTTGGCTGTTCCTCTAATTAACCTTTCAGAATCTGATGACTGCTGTGAGGGCATTCTTTTTTAGGGTCCTATGGGAGAAATGTTTGCCTTTCATTCCACAACTATGGCTAACACCCTTAATACACCGATCATTGTGTTCACAAGAACTGGATCAATGGCTATTCTTTTAAGTCATTACCGTCCCTCCTCAACCATATTTGCCTTCACAAATGAGTGAGTTATTTGCCTTCACAAATGAGTGAGTTCTGGTAGCAGCTTGACATGGATTTCTCCTTTTGTATTATCTGGAGTTGATTTCTATATGCTTTGTGCTTGGAACTTGGACATTGAATTTTAGCCTTTTATGGCCTCCCATACAATGACATGGTCATCCTGCATGTTGCCAATTTTCCTTAAGAAAAATGCTATTGCCAATCTCTTTACAGCATTCTTGCACTTCTTCCATGTCTATGCAACTAAAGTTGTTAGCTTACTTTGGGGGAGAGTATATATCTAAATAGAGGTACCGATTGCCTCCTCTGTTGACAAATTGACTGGTATGTTTTCTTCTTTGCAGGGAGCGAATTAAGCAGAGGCTGGCACTTTATCAAGGTGTGATGCCCATATATATGCAATTTTCAGATGATGCAGAAGAGACCTTCTCTAGAGCACTCAAGCTACTAGTGGTTAGTTACCTCTTGGAGACCAGATCCTTTGATCTCTAGACCAACACCCTCTGCATGGTTTTTCATTTGGATCCAACATATCATGTGGTTAAACATTTCCTAATACAATTTCCAATGCTTCAGGATAAAAATTTGGTGAGGGAGGGAGAGCACGTTACTCTGGTCCAGAGTGGAGCACAACCAATCTGGCGGCAGGAATCCACTCATCACATCCAAGTGTGTAAGGTCCAAGCTTAATTTTCACTTGTGAAGAGGCTTTCTCATGATAGAACTTACTGAGCAGTAGCTAACACTTAAAACTGTGTATTATTTTTAATTTTATGAATGATCATATAATTGTTTTTCCAAGTTTTAAATAGAAATTCTTAGAAGAATTTTAGAACCACAAATGCACACAAGGTAATCTTAAGCATTTCTCCTTAAAACCAGAAGTTTACACTTCACTTGTTAGTTGATAAACTCAAGCAGTCTATTTAAATCTTCAAATTTAACTTAGTATTATGATAAGGGCTATCGATAATCATAAAAATTAGTTAAAACCATGTAAATTATTCAACTAAGGCCGTGATAAGGTTGCGAACTGTGAATCATTGTCCCTCCTTCATTGAAGAAACCTTAAGGCTGTCATCATTCTGTTCTTTTTGTGTTATCTTATTTAAGTTTCCCCGTTTATAAGCTTGTATTGTTGGATGCTATATAGGTTAGAGAAGCTTTAAATAGAAGTTGTATAGAAGGAAAAGGAAAGTTCTATTAAAGAACCAGATAGGTCCACGTACTGGAAGGCCAACACAACATTGTTACATAGAGAGAGGACAAAGTTTCATATTAGAGCAGTCAAGAGCACATGTTATTTGCCATCTCCGTTGCTGATAGTTAAACATTAGCTCCGACACCATCCTAAAAACTATACTTT